TCGAATTTTATAGTCTCGTTACTTGCGTATCAACTATTATTTGATAATCTAATATATCTTTTGATTGGGAATTGAAAAATAAAATTCCTTGTAAGTGTAAAAACTGACCTAATATGTCTAATAAATTTTTATACGACCTAAAACTATATTAGTTTGGAAACTAACTTTATTTTTCAATTATTGTAAATGATTTCAGAGGACTAATTTTTGTAAACTTTAATCCTAATTACATAATGACATTTGTATCTCTGTATCCTCATTAAAACATACACAAAAACTATGTAAACATATTTTTTTATGTTCAATATATTATCTAGACACGGACTAATTCAAATATTGGAGTAGAGATGTTTTACTTTGTTAATCAATATTAGTCCAAGCATATTAATAGAGACGAAAAAATAATGCTACATGAGTATGTAAGCCCTCTTTTTCTCTTTCACTCTTGTACGCAGCTATTTTATTTTCGTCTTCTTCATTTTTTTTTGAAAAAATCATTCTTAATTAAGAAAATTAGCATTATCCTACTCATAACTTCATAAGTCAAAAGATCATGCAAAGTAAATTAAAGATCTAAACACTACACAAGAATCGGATTATATGTCAGGAATTCAAATCCCACAACCTATATTTAAAAAATTCTAGATGATGTGTCAAGGCATCTATATAGTTTAGATGATACTGCTCATTTAATTCAATTCGGTCCCTGTTAGTATAGAATAGTGCTATTCTTAATGTTGAAAAAAATATTAAAAAATAAATTGTTTGGATAGGGTATTATTTGGAATAAATACTGTAGCACTGATAGGGTGTTAATTGTTGGTTATTTTATTGTTAATTTTCCCCTTTATCCTTGCCAAATATTGTTTTAATTATTAATATTTACTTATATTTGGTATTGGACTCAATTTCAGGAAGTGAAACAGAAAACTACAAAAATGGTTGTGCGGCGGGCTGGAGTGGTTGTGCGATGGGCGAGGGAGCTTCAGCCGTGGACTGCTGTGAGCTGCGGGCGACAGCGGAGAGCTGGGATGCGGAGAGCCGCGCGCGAGATGGCGGCGGGCACAGAGGACGACGGGCTGAGCAGCGTCCGTGGCAGGCTGGGTGCGTGCGGAAGAGAGGAAAGGGAGGGCTGTGGCGGCGGGCCGCTGCTTCGGACGACACAGAGGAACAGGGGAGAAGGAAGAAAGAAAGAAGAAGAAGAAAGAAAGAAAGAAAAAGAAAGAAAAGAAAGAAAAGAAAAGAAGAAAAAGAAAAAGAGAGAAATTGCTGTTTTTTTTTTTCAAAAATGTTTCTTTTTTTTTTCTTCCAATTATGAGGCTCTTTGAGCCACGGAAATAATTTTTCGTTCTTTTTTTTTTTTTTTGGAAATTGATTTCGACTTTTTAATATTTTTTTTTTTTTTTTGAAATTTGGAAACTAAAGCTACGGTGATAAGAAATGTTTATTCTATTTTTTTCTTTTTTTCTCTTTATTTTTTTGAATCCTTACCTTTCCCGCGAACGTGACGCGGGTGCGTCATGAGGGCAAGAGAGCTCCCAGAAGTTTGTGAAGTTTCTGATCGTGAGCTTCCTGCACATCACCACGCGGGCGCGTCATGACTGAAGGGCACCTATAAATCAGCAAAAATGAAAATTGAAACCCAAAATCAGTCGAATTCAAGGAGAATACATCTAAACTACCACACGAAAATGAACAAACAATTAAAAGGAACAATTGGGTTGCCTCCCAAGGAGCGCCTTTCTTTAATGTCTTTGGCTAGACATTATCATGTTTTGCTCATGGAGGATAAAATCTTGTGGCTCGTCTTACTGCTTCATCCTCTATATAGTCCTGATAACCCTCGTAAATAGAATAATCCTTGAGCATACGAGCTACGGGCTTCCATGGACTAGTGAATGGCGCCAAACGAGTCGATGATAATTTACATTCTCCATTCACTCCTCCCTCACTTGCATTCATTGGTTCAAGATATTTTGCCATCTCCACTCTTAACTTATTTCTGTCATGAAATTCAAAATTGTTGGATTCATTCACTTGAACGAGTTGATCTTGGAGTCTCATTTCTTGCACTTCAGCTTCCTTTTCAACTGCATCTTTAAATCCGTTTTCTTGAAACTCTTGCAGTTCCATGTCATTTGGCCGGATAATTGCACTCTCATCTTCCTCAAGATTGATATTGGTTTGTGCGGGCAATTCTTCCATTTGAGGAGCCAATCGATTTATTCTGGATGTCAATAGACATAGTTGATCTGCCAGATCACGAAGGCTCGCTTGTGTCTCCTGATGAAATCGATTTAGGCTCGCTTGTGTCTCCTGATGAAATCGATTTGTATTAGCAATTAGTAATTCCATCATTTCTTCAAGAGACATGCCTAACACGGAGGATGATTGCTGAGACTCTTGCTGTTGAAAATCCATTGGCCCGGTCGCATAATCAAAATTGGAATTATCCCACCATCCTTGATCATACCCGTTTGAATAAGGGTCATGCTGCGTTTGATATTGGGGTGAAAAATCTCCAAAAGTATCAATTGGAGCACTTAGATTATCTTGAAATGCGGGGCATGTGTCAGTTGAATAACCTGAGTCAAAATAAGTTCCACAATTTGCAACAGCCCATTGATCATTAGGAAAAACATGAGTCTCATCACCCCATTCAGGAACAAAGTCCAGTCTATCATCAAAATATGGAATGTTAGCAGCCATAAACTATAAAAAAAATAAGAGAAAATAAATTAAAAATGAGAACAAGGTGAACTCAAAAAGAAACAAATTAATCTGACACCAGTCCCCGGCAACGGCGCCAAAATTGACAGGTGCCGAACCTGTGCAATAATAATTACCTACTCAAGAAAAATATAGATTTTGTATATAGCGGCGAGCAGGGTCGAATCCACAGGGATTGGGGATAATTCGTTTCTTCTAGAGTCCAGAGTATGGGAGGTTCTTGGATTAAATGCTAACTAAATAAATCAAGTGCAGAAAATAATTGATTAAAAGAAATAATTCAGAGAAACTCTAGCCAAGGGTACACTTCAGAAATGGTTCAGGCACTGATCATTGATGCAGAAATAATTCCAACATTTAGCAATAGATTAGTTATAGTTGTCATGCACGCGATAAACAACCAACCCTTCCTTAATTTCTCGATAGCTAAGGTACGACTGTTAGCTATTTCTCTAACCCAAAAATAACCCTAGGTACGACCGTAGGATTTAATTTCTAGATTGCATTAATAATTAGAAAGGCTCAATCCTAACCAACAAACACGCTACGAGGGTTTGTTTAAATTAGATCATATGCTCCCCTGACATAAACCCAATTACGCCAGTTGCTACTGAGGTAGAGATAACGAACAATTACGGATTCAATTACCCCTATTTAGCAAAAATAGCCTATATGAATAATTAATTATTGTGCACTAATCAATCATACACAAGGCCATAGCAATTAAAATCAAGGAACATATAAATACCAATAAATGAAGAAAATAATTAAAACAGATTCGATCTCACAGTAATTGTCGAACCAAATCGTCAGTTGTCCCCTTGACTAGAAAAGCTTAACCACGCCTCATGAGAAAATCTCCCCGTTGGGGAATATTGTCGAATACCTGGCGTGTGTCACCTGGCGTGTGTCAGAGGCCAGTCCAAAGAAAGAAAACTAGAACTAAACTAAAAAACTAAAACTAAAGCCCTAGATATCTTTTGCTTCTGTACGTTGTCCCCTTTTAAAGCAACAAAAGAAAGATGACTAAAAGCTATCTAGGTGGTCCCCACACATGTGGACAAAGCCTCCCAAGTACTTCTTGTTCCAAGTCTCTCTACGTTACTTTCTTTGAAGCCCAAATGACCAAATGCCTTTCACTAGCTTGTGGTCCCCCACCAATTCAAGGGCCCAAGGATTGAAGCCCTTAGAAGTCTCCATATTTTTCACAAAGTCCCTCCTTTTTGGTAGTTTTCTGCTTCATTCCTGAAATTGATTCCAAATACCAAATATGAGTAAATATCAGCAATTAACACAATATTTGTCAGGGATAGAAGGGAAAATTAATAATAAAAATACTAACAAATTATACCCTATCACCTTGGTGGTTCTCTCCCTGTGGAGAAATCCCCATCGATGCATCAGGCCTGAAATAATGCTTGATGAAGTTTCTACGAATGAGCACAACCACAGAAATTGAGAAAATGAAGTTGGTGACAGAGGACTTTTTCAAGCTACCATTACAACAGAAGATGGCCTATGCACGACTGCCAAATGATGTTGAAGGATATGGTCAAATATTTGTGGTATCAGAGGATCAAAAGCTTGACAGGGGGGACATGCTCTTCCTCTGCGCATTGCCAGTTTCTCAAAGAAATATGAGATTCTGGCCTACGACTCCAACATCTCTCAGGTAGACAATGGATAATACACAGTATCACAATAATCTTTCCCACTTCTGCAGTAATATTATACACAGTATCCAAATGATGTTGAAGGCTAGCCTTGTTCGTCAAGCTCCTCTGCTTACAGAATTTCCCATTCGTCATGGGAATCTATCCTCTATTTTTTGCGCAACAAAGATTCTTTAAACTGGCAATTTAGAAGCCAATTGGAATACGCAATTTAGAAGCCAATTACGAGTCAAGAGTCTTCCCGTAAGAAGAATTTGTCAGGATTTAGTACTAACAAGTTTAGAGTGACTTCTAACAAAATGAATATTCGTATTTCTTAATATATAGTTAGCTTTAATTATCATGCATAAGAATATAATAATTGGAGATAATTTTAACACATATAATAATTGGAGATGAAGAAAATGATTGTTAAATATAGGTGTAAATGTGTAATTTTTAATTTTGATTACCAATAATAGAAGAAATTTTTAATTTTAATCTCAGTGCAAAAAGATTATCCTAGAAGAAATTTGGTAGGACCTGCTATTTATTATCCAGCTGGGGACTAACTCTCACTTTAACACTATTGTTAATGTAGGTTTGTACAAACAGAAGTAAGGATAAACCAAATTGGGTTTGCATATTGCCAATACATTTCTAACCTGCCTACTTCTTGATCGTTTGCGAAATCAATTATAGAAAAGATCAAGAAACAAAAAAAAAAAAAATAAGAGAGTAAAATACAGTACATCAAGTCGTTAACAACATCACACAATATACACAATGTAGTATACAATAAATAAGGTAAAATACAAAAAAAAAAAAGAAAAAGATGCAATGTCGTCTACATTCCACAACCAGAGAAAGGGAAGCCACGGTTGCTATTGCTGCTGCTGCTGCTTGTTAGGAAAGATTATATGTTTTCTTCTTCTCCGCCCACAGCCAGCGGTCTCTCCATTTCCTATCATCTGTGTAGTAACCAATGAGAATTTCAGGAATGTGTGCGATTCTTCTGTAATCTTCACTTTCTTCCTTCTGATTCTCCAACAGCTTCCCTCTCAATTGAGAACTCATCTCATACAAAGTTAGCTCTTGAAGTTGGCTCAAGTGCTGAATACCCACAGGTAACTCCTCTAGTAATGGAAGTTGTTCCAGAAATAGTTTTTGGAGACGAGGCAATGCACCCTCCTCCACTCTCATCCATCTCAACCCTTCCATTCTCTTTAAGTGCAACTCCTTCAGCTTTAGGAACCCTCCAGCTTTGAAGCACAATCCTTCTCCCTGGTAAGATCCACAGAAATTAATTTCACCAAATTGGGCAAATGTTGGAGGGATTCAAGCGGATCCTCCTCACCCTTAACCTGCTCCAGTCCAAATCTATCTTACCAAGCCGTGAAGACGAGCTACCCATTGTGGCATCTTTTCTAAGCGGCCACACATAAACAGCGTACGAAGAGATTGAAGAAACAAAGAAGAAGAAGAAAGAGAAGGATGATTTAAATCGATTATCTCAAAATCATCACCTTTTCCAATTGAATCAACACTTAATTCCCGAAGACTGGTGAGGTTGGCAAGGGAGGAGCAGAGCTCCTTTCCATCTTCGCTTCTTAACTTTGTAATATATAGCTCTCTTAATTGGGTCAGCTTTCCTATCTCCTTAACTATTGTAGATCCACTACTTGCATCTATGCAGTTTAATACTTCTAGGGCAAGAAGCCTCCCATATTCGAGGGAGCTTTAAATCCATGATATCCATAATCATCATCTGAAGTATCAACTTGTTGATATACTCTGAGAACTCGAAGCTGTTGCAGCTTTAGGATTTCCAAGGGTAATTCCCTAACTCTGGTGTTACCCAAATCCAGATACTCCAAATGTTGAAGCTTTCCAATGCTTTCGGGATTCTCTCCACTCTCGTACAGGATAGGTCCAGATGCTTGAGCTGAAACAAGTTGAAAATCTCATTTGGTATTTCCACTTGACTATCCAGTTCCAAACCTTTAACAGCTTACTACTCTTGAAATTTCAGATAACAACATTCTAGACAGGAGTGGGTTCGGGGATCCAATTGTAAAGAATGACCGAAGGTGGTCAAAGCAATAACTTCGTCTTTGTTGGTGGTGCTGGTGTTGTTACTGCTACTACTACGGAGTACTAGACGGCGTACCTTGTCGGACGGCCACATCGTTGGTTGTCCATCAATGACTGTGACCAAGTTTTGTTCCCTTGACTTGAGAAGAATAACTGCTCTCAATAGGTCATGGATTCGACAAGTGTAGGGTATTCCTTCGTAAAACACACAGGTCACTTGAATTAGGTTTCTACTGACGAGTTCACTGAGATAACCCCAAGCTACATCTTCAATACTCATTCCTTCTCTCCATTCTACAAACCTTTCAGCAATCCACAAATTAATGAGTCTTCCGCATCCTATTTTATAATCCTCTGGGTAGATGCTTAAATACAACAAGCATGCCTTTAGATGCCAAGGCAAATCATTATAACTAAGAGAGAGAATCTTTTTAACTCTGTCCAGCTTACCAGTGCCTTCTAATTCACCTCCAAGACTGCGTCGAACCGTCTCCCATTCCTCTGTTCTGTTTACATCTTTCAAAGCCAAAAGCCCACTGATTGCAAGAATCGCAAGGGGCAAGCCCTCACATTTATCCAATACACCTTTGCAACATCCATCAAATGGCCAGGGCAACTATTTCCCTTAAAGATCTTGTTACAAAACAGGGTCCACGAATCTTCAAAGGACAGTGACTCCATTCTGTGGAGATAACCTAGAGATTCTGTACAAGAGGCAGAGGCTACATCAGCTTTCCGAGTTGTTAGCATGACACGGTTGCCGTGGCTACTCTCGGGCAGTGCAAATTTGATGGTATTCCAAAATTCCACGTCCCATACGTCATCAAAAACAATTGCATACCTTCCAGCTTGTTGAAGAAAATCTTTGACAATTTTTTTCAGCCCAGTGGCGGTCATAGACTCTATCGATTGTGGGACTGGTTTCTTCCCTTCCTCGTGTAACTGCCGAATCAAGTCTTTCAGGAGGTACTGAAAGTCACATGTTTGAGAGACAGTTACCCAAGCACGAACTGGGAAATGCCTTCTGACTTCAGGATCCTCGTGGACTTTTTTCACTAGGGTAGTTTTGCCGAGTCCTCCCATACCAACCACTGAAACAACTTTCAGTTGGTGATCATCCTCTTCGAGGAGCTCAGAAATAAGACGTTTCTTGGGCTGGTCAATGCCAACCAATTTAGCTTCTTCCACAAGCAGTGCGTCATCTCTGCTATAGCGCCAGGTTGTGGTGTTCACAGCCGAAAGTGAGTTGGACGCTGGGGCAGAGATACCATATTCGGATTGGTATCTTTGATGAGCTTCAGAAATACTTTTGATTCGGGACTTGATGCTTTGTATTTCGCTAGCAACTCGATGACGAGCTCTCAAATTCTTGATGGAGCTGAAAATTCTCCGAACAGAGCCGTAGAATCCTGTTGCGCGATGCCGAGCAAAGCGAGCTACAAATTCATCGAGAATGTCCTCAGTGTCATAAGCAGCATCTCGCACTTGCTTGATCCATTGTTGGAGCGTGGGTTGAGCATCTTCTTCTTTGCTTCTGCCTCTCGCAGGAAAGCTCTCATTTGCTCCAACTCATCCATGATGAATTGAACCTCTTGCCGAAGCCCTCCCAATAGTCGTCCCTCCTCGCGCAGAAAAGTTGAGAGTTGATCCAGCACAAAAGAGAGAACTGTTTCTGCCATTTTCAGTCTTTCTTTCTAACTTAAGAACGTTGGGGAAGGCGGCTTCTGGTTTATAGGACAGCCCACTTGTAGTATCTTGAAAGGAAGAAGGAAGAGGAGGCTATGGATTCATAAGCTGATGAACTTCGATGCTATATGGTGCAGTATTTATCACAAAGACAAACCGCGTCAAACAGAAAAAGGAAGAATTAACCAATTAGAAGAAACTAAAGCAAGAAATATGACGGAAATTGAAGACGAGAAGATAGTGAAAGACGAAGCTGCCTTACAAAATCATGGAAGCTATTAAGAAGACTGTGTTGCACATGCCTTCGGGACCTTCTTTCAACTGTGGGTCCTTTGGTGGGATAAAGATAAAGGAGCATCTTTCAACTGTGGGTTCTTTACGAGGGGAAGGAATAAAGTTAAAACGCGGTTGGACTGGACGTTCTTGATTTCTTTTAACGAAGAAATAAAACTACTGCAAAATGTTTTGCCCCTTCTGCTGACTAATTTCTGCTGGCATTTTCCTTCCTTCCACTCTGCAATTATTTATTTTGGTGATATTCGTGTCAAACGGGTTTGTTTGGATTGTGTTTTATTTCTTCAATTTTATCTGCTTACATCATCATTACAATTTTCAATACACCTTTTTATCTTCCCAATTACTTTTTTACCTCACACACATCACATCACAAAAAGTGCTACAGTAAAAATATTCCAAATAAAACACAATATTGCTCTAAAGTGTGGTATCTCAAAACAATCAATTAATAAAGGGAATCATTGAGTATCACTTGAATTTTTTTAGTCTCATTACTTGTGTATCAACTATTATTTGATAATCTTATATATCTTTTGATTGGAAATTGAAAAATAAAATGTCTTGTAAGTCTAAAAACTAACATAATATGTCTAATAAATTTTTATACAACCTAAAACTATAGTAGTTTGGAAACTAACTTTATTTTCCAATTATTGTAAATGATTTCAGAGGACTAATTTTTGTTAACTTTAATCCTAATTACATAATGACATTTGTATCTCTGTATCCACATTAAAACATACACAAAAAGTATGTAAATACATTTTTTTAATGTTCAAACATATTATCTAGACATAGACTAATTCAAATATTTGAGTAGAAATGTTTTACTTTGTTTATCAATATTTGCCCAAGCACATTAATAGAGATGAAAAATGATGCCACACGACTATGTAAGCCCTCTTTTTCTCTTTCACTCTAGTATGCAGCTATATTTTTTCCATTTTTTTTGAAAAAAATCATTCTTAATTAAGAAAACTAGTGTTATCCTACTCATAACTTCATAAGTCAAAAGATCATACAAAGTAAATTAAAGATCTAAAAACTACGCACAAGAATCGGGTTAATGGTCAGGAATTCAAATCCCACGACCTATAATTAAAAAAATCTAGATGATATGTCAAGGCATCAATATAGTTTAGATGATGCTGCTTGTGTAATTCAATTCGGTCCCTGTTAGTATAGAATAGTGCTATTCTTAATGTTGAAAAAAATAATAAAAAGTAAAATTTCCAACATCCAAGATGCTTGGCATCCTTTTGTATTGTTATTCAAAAGAAATGAGTCTCCTACCTTCATTTAATTTCAATTTTTTTGTCATTTTTTGATTTATTTCAACTTGCTACACTTCGCACCTGTCATTTTCATGTAGATAGCCATGAGCCGTTTTCCTTTTTTTAAGAGTCACATATTTTCTTGTGGATTTTTAACCAAATTTTGTTTACAATTCATTTTAGCTTCTAGGTTTACCGTGCTTAAGTGTTTTTCCTATACTTTTTTGAACCCATTCCTAAAATTTTGTTAGGAATTCATTTCAATAAATTGGTCTGAAAGACGAAGCTACCTTACCTGCTACAATACAAAATCATGGAAGCTACTAAGAAGTCCGTGCAATTGGTGGGGTGATCAGTCTTCAAGACCTTTCAACTGTGGGTCCTTTAGTCGGATAAAGATGGAGGAGCATCTTTCAACTGTGGGTTCTTTACAAGCAGAAGGAATAAAGTTAAACGCGGTTGGACTGGACATTATAAAAAATTGACTGGTGTCGAACCTGTGCAATAATAAGTACCTACTCGAGAAAAAATACAGATTTTGTATATAGCGGTGAGTAGGGTCGAATCCACAGGGACTGGGGATAATTCGTTTCTTCTAGAATCCAAAGTATGGGGGGTTCTTGGATTAAATGCTAACTAAAGAAATTAAATGCAGAAAATAATTAATTAGAAGAAATAACTTAGAGAAACTCTAGCCAATGATACACTTCAGAAATGGTTCACGCACTGATCATTGATTCAAAGATAATTCCAACATTTATTACTAGAGTGGTTATAGTTGTTATACACGCGATAAACAACCAACCTTTCCTTACTTTCTCGATAGTTAAGGTACGACCGTTAACTATTTCTCTAACCCAAAAACAATCCTAGGTACGACCGTAGGATTTAATTTCTAGATTGCATTAATAATTAGAAAAGTTCAATCCTAACTAACAAACACGCTACGAGGGTTTGTTTAAGTTAGATCGTATGTTTCCCTGACATAAACCCAATTACACCAGTTGCTACTGAGATAGAGATAACGAACAATTACGGATTCAATTACCCCTATTTAGCAAAATAGCCTATGTGAATAATTAAATATTGCGCATCTACTCAATCACTCACACGAGCTATAGCAATTAAAAGCAGGAAACATATAAATACCAATAAATTAAGGAAGCAATTAAAATAAATTAGATCTCACAGTAATTGTTGAACCAAATCTTCAGTTGTCCCCTTGACTAGAATTGAGAAGCTAGTTCTCCATTATGGAGAACCAGCTGTGCAAGAATAAAAATAATAGCCGCCTTAGTGTTTGATAAGAGAAAAACTGAAGGGAACAAAAGATTGGCCAAAAGACCAAAAGGCTCTCCGAGAGAGAGAGAACGAGAGAGCGCTCCCTGAAGCCAGCGAAGGGATTTATTTATAGAGTCCTCGTGCGGCTGTCTCCAAAAGAGACCCAGTAGTCTTCCTGCTTTTGTGGGTCAGCACGTTTAGTCAAAGAAGGAACCCAATCAATTGAAATCCAATTGAAGTCTTGTTGCCAAATGACTCTTCACGTTGCCAAATGACTCTTCACGTGCAAATTGGCTAAGTCAGCATTGTTCCAGAATTGTCACCCGCGAAGGAATCTCCAAATATTTGGAAGTTTGCACGTGGCCAACAATCCCGCAAATCCGGCTTTGGACATCATACTTAGGCGTGCCCACATCTAACTGACAGGAAGGCTTCAAAAGTTAATTTTCCAGCGCCTTTTGCCCCTAAATGCTGCAATTCGCATAGAACACAAAATCTCAGTAAAATCCACCGATTAGTGCAGTATTTAGTCCAAATAAATAGGAAAAGCACGTGAGAAGACCGACTAAACTGCACTCTATCAACATTATTGATTTCATTGACGAAGAAATAAAACTACAACAGGGTCTTCTGCTCCTCCTGCCGACATCTATAACCTCCTCCTTCTATGGAACTAATTTCTGCGTTTTTTTTTTTTTTGGTTTTCCCCTTGGAACAAAATCAAAGCAACTCTAGGAGCAAACCACTCCAATACGGTGTCTGACCAAATTTTTGGTATAAACCTGCCTCTGTGTTTAAGTAGTTAAAGAGGAAAGACCACATGGGCAATGATGTCGAAGCATCGTGCAAAAGCAAATTTGATGTCGAATTATTTAACAAGGAATAAAGCAATGGTGTCTGACCAAGTTTTCCAGCTCAAAGCAACTCAGGACATTCCCCCCCCCCCCCCCCGGGTCCTTTTTTCTCCTCAAAGCAAAAATGACAGTTCTGAATCAAATGAAAGCCAGCTATGAGTTTTCCAGGATGTTTGGTAAGTGAATTTTTTGAGTGTTTGTCTAAAACTTTACTATGACTTACTGTAAAAAAATTTTTAAAAATTTTTGAAATGTATTTTTTTTTTGAATATTTTGAAGTTTACTTTGATAAATTTTTTAAGATTACTGTAGTCAAAGTTTTTAAAAAATTTGTGACAGATAAACTTGACAAAAAAACTTGTTTGCCAAACAAGCCCGCAGCGGAGGAAAGTGAATTTCCCTCCAAATGGAAGCCAGCTATTAAACTGTTCCGGGCAAGATACAAACCCTCCAGCTTATTCAAAGTTCCATATTCCCATGGTGTATGTCCGCTAAATTCATTTGATGACAATGACATATTTGAATTACTGAACAAGCAGTTAAATTTGATGGCAACTGGCCATTTAACTCATTTGAAGTTAAATAAAGCCCTCCGAGACTCGGAAGATCATTGCATGTCTGGAGGAAGATTACCAGGTAAGTTATTTCCTGAGAGAGCAATAATAATTTCCAACGTTGAAATGTTGAAAATGGATGATGGTATAGACCCAACATCTGTTATTGCTGTTATTTCTAATTGACAAAAATTTAAGTTCGGGAAAGGAACCAAACCATGACGGATTATCTCCAGTGTAAGTTGTTGAGCTTAAAGTTCATAAACCACAGGCATCGCAAACGGGACAGATCTCCAGGTTGATTGCCCAGGTAATTGTTACCACTAAGGTCCAAAGAAATAAAGAAAAGACAAGTTCCTCAGATGGCGAGGAATGCTGCCTTTCAAACCCATGAATGATATGTTTAAAGCGGTTACTCTATGATGTTGGGTGCCACAAGTAACTCCAATCCAATCACAAACACAAGTATTAGCAGTCCGGTAGTCTTCCAGGACTGGGTAGGGGTCTGACAATATGTGCTCTTTCAAAGCAACAAGAGCAGATTGATGACAATATTGGTTTCCATGTTGGCTAAGCAAGCCATCGAAAAATGCAGGAACAGAACTGCAAGAGGAAAGTAATACTGAAGAATTCTTGAAAATGCAATTTTTTTTTTTTTGAAAAAAAAAAAAAAAAAAAGCTCCCCACATCACCCCCCCCCCCACGCCCCCCAAAAAAATATTTGTTTTGACGGAATGCAATCTCTTTTTTTTTTGGGCAACAGAATGTGAAGCGTGACTGCCGACTTTCGCACTTCTTTATGGACGAACAAAAGATGAGTATAACTTAACTGCATCTCAAATGTTAAGTAAGATCAGCATTTCGGGTCCTATCGAATCTGTTCACGTTTGAAACCAAGAAAAAAAGAGCACGAATGCCTATCCATACTTCCCAGTTAACTAAAGCTAAAGTTCCAGGAACTAGAATTCTAAATTCAGATCTCATTAAATCTTGGTATTTTCTACTAGTTCGTATTCGTTAGGATGTATTCAATTTGTATTGATCCTACAATTTTTAGTTGAAATGCCCTTCAGTTTTCATTCGATTTGCATCCATCCTACCAGTTGTGAGCATAATGTAACTCTTAAGTGTCTTTACCCACAATCTTCCTTTGATCCTACCATTTGTGAGCATAATTTAACTCTCCATAGATGCTAGAATCACTAATGCTTTTGGCACAATCTACATGTGTGCTTATCTCAAAAATATAAATATATAATTAGTTTTTTACAATAAGTTATTGTCTGTAGAAGGTTTAGTGCGTGTATTTTTTTTTTTAAGAAATCTATTAATCCTACGCGCTTTTATTTAGGAAATTACTATATCTAAAATCATGGTTGTGGAGAATTGTACACTTAAATGATATCTGATAATGAGAATTGTACACTTAAATTAGCATTGTACTTTTATTGCTCAGGTGGATGAGTAATCTTGTGAATTAAGACTCAATTCTCACCTTTTACACCCACAAAGTGCAAATTGCAAAAGCATAGTATTGTGTTTCTGACACATTTTGTAGAAATTATATTGTTGAATCAAATATAGAGGCCTACTAGATATCTGATAAAGAGAATTGAATTGAAGTTACACACCAATGTTCTTTTTCCCACTCAATGTATCAATTCCTCCTAATAAAAACCAGAGACAGATAACCATTTAGATGCTGGCATTCTCCAAATTTGATAAAATCAACAGAACAAAAATTGGTACAATTTAAGTCAAGAAAAAAAAAAAACACCCCCCCCCCACAACCCACCCCAAAAAAAATTTGTTTTGACGGAATGCAATTTTTTTTTTGGCGACCAGAGAAAATGCAATCAAACGAGAAATCAAACAAATTATCCAATAGAAAAAAGGATTAAAAAACATATTATAGAAAAGGGCATCAGGTCTCCAAGGTGATTTAGCATCAATGTAGAGCTATTCAGACGCAAATTACCCATTTGTATACATGAGATTCATCCTTTGCCCCAAAAATTAATTTGAAACCTAAATAAATTTTGAAAAAAACCCGAATTCACGATAAGAAAAAAATAAAGAAAAAACTTCATAGGAAATATAGAAAGGCGATCAGAACCTGTCGGGATTCATAGTTAACATCAGAGGATTATTATTCAGTGGATTGACAGACTTATGAATTCTATCATCCCCTCGCTCTTTCTTTAAATCCCCAAATTTTAATTAGAAACAAAAAAAAAGGTTTGATGATAAAAATCGAAACTTTTATGTGTATACAACCGCTTAATACTCAGCAAGTGCTCAGAACTTCTTAGAGGAATTAGGTTGCCGTCATAGACAAACGACATCGTCGTGGTCTCCGGCCCGAATTATGAGCTCGTCACTGCAATCTACTGAAAATTGCGGCGAGTAATCAAAAGAGGAAAGAGCACTTACTCGAGTTTGCGATTGAAAGGTGAAAACTATCTAAAACCCTACGCATCTGAGCCGAGCTGAGCTGATTTGAGTTGAATCGGTGGCTGCAGGATTGGATATTTATAGGCAATAGCTTGTGACTGTAGGAGGCGGCGAAACCCTAGCATCTTCTTCTGCACGCCGCCTAAACCTAAACCGTACTTTTGAAAGACTTAAAAAACATGATATATATTTCTTTTTCGACCTTTTGTTTTTATTTATACTTATACTATATGTAATTTAAATGGAAAAAATGGCATATATTTTTCTTGTATCGAATATTTGAATGGATTCCTTAGATAATTCGGATAATTGTCTCTTTCGCTTCGTTTGATGTTCTAGTTCAATATTTGTTTGATAATTCAATGCAACATTTAAGGTTGATAATTCAATTCAACATTTAAAAATTAATGAATTCAATCCAATTCAGCATTTAACGTTAATGGTTTTAAATTTTAATAATATGTTTAAATGCGTTTGATATTCAAAAATATAATATTTAAATTAATTAAGCAACACTGAATTTTTTAAATAAAATTTGATCTAAAAAATAAGTGATAAGTTATTGAGTTATAACCATTTAATGTGATATATATTCAAATTTATCAAATTTTACTCAATGGATTCAAATTCAGTTTTCAACCTCAATTTTATCAAATGCATCCTTAGTTCCTTTATTGTGTAATTAAGTTATTTTTACCAAAGATTTGGAGGAGTTCCTTAAATAATTTGGAATGCATTTAGTTCCTTTCTAATGGGAGACTGTACCTCTGTTTCTGTAGTTGGAATGCGAAACAGGACAAGATCATTCTTTTGTCAGTGAAACTACTTTTTTCTTTTTTTTTCTTTTTTACGAAATGACTCTCTTTCTCTGAGAACGACTTTAGTATTACTAAGTTAAAACTCATTTGTTATTGAAATTATTTTGATAAATTATTGAATTTTTTTTTTGACTTTTTTTTTTAACTATGGAACATCTCCTCCTTTGAGCCATTTGAGGGTTTGGATTTCAAAATTGACAATTGAACTCACACAGGGAAATTTATGATAATTTTTGCTTTCCTCATTTTTTTTTTTTATATCTAGAATAATAAAAGATTAGTCCACTTCATATTGCCTCCCTGCTGCTTATGCTAGTAGAATGTGACTGCAAGTAACGTTTCATTTGCCAATTTCAAGAACTTATCGATAAGCGTATGCTTATTTGTCCAATTTTCTAATACCATCTATTGTCCTGAATGTGCAAAATTATAAGATCAGGAGGTTAAATTGGAAGACGACAAAAGAAAGGGCACTTCAACAATTTTGTGCTTTTCCTTTGTTGGACTTGCTTCCTGCATGGCCCTCAAGAGCCACTATTTAGTCCCTGAAATTATTTGGTCCTATATAATATAGGACAATTTATCCTGGAAACTAGTCACTTAGCATCTGACCACCAAAAACGGTACAAATAAAAATCTATGCAAGGATTCCCACAGCTTTTTGATCATCTAAAAACAAGATGAAATGCTAATAGAGCTTCATGAAAGATGCACCAATGGGTTCTATATTTTATAACTGTAAAGGGACCCAGAGACATCATAGGATCATAGTACAGCAGCCTAACATAGCACTATAGCAGCTAGACCTCCACCTCCATGGGGACAGTGGATGTCAGGCAAAGGAAATTACAAGTAAACTGATGAGCTTAAACAAGTTTCAAAGTCTATAAAAGCATCCAGATGAAATGCTAGTTCTACTCTTAAGCATTTGCTGCATTGTCTCAATTTTCTAGATAAGGCGGATTTGAGTAGGCTATGTTTGCCAATCTGCTCAGGCTACATATTTATCATCAACATCAGCATCAATTTTCTCCAGGAGGGCAGACGAACAAAAAGAAAAAGAAGCAGGGGGCAATAAAGAAGGAAATTAGCTATATCAAACTTAAAACTGATATCGCTATCAACCAACGTCCACCAAAGAGTTGTCGGCGGGGAATTTTAGTTAAAAAGTATGGCAATGGTTGGTGGGGTTTTGCATGGCCGGATAAAGATTAACCCAAAAGAATGGGAGGAGAGGTTCATGGTAAAGCATGTGCAATGATGTCTGAGTAAAAGAGAGAGAGAATGCTAAATTTTCAACTACCCTCAGTTCAGTAAGCTCTTATCAAGAATTAACTATCTTCTTATTGTCTTCTAGTTCACTGAAATATGCTACTCACAGAACAGTCATCATGAACGCGCCAAATGGTCTCACCCAACAGGTTTGCAACTGAAAGTACAGTTAACTGCGGGAAATAATTCTTCTCAATTGCTGGAATTGTGTTTGTAACTATAACTTCTTGAAACAGGCCACTTGACAACCTCTCAACTGCAGGTGGGCTGTAGAGAAACATCATCAATCTGGTGATCTATAATTGGATGCATACATGAAAAAATAGGGAACTATAAACATGTGTTCTGCTACCACAAAGTTCACATGGAACTAAGGGTTAAAGAAATCTGACACAGACGGGAACCACATTAACCAAACAGAGTTCAACATGAATGTATATGCACATAAACTTCAAATAGTTGATATTTACATGACAAATTGGTGATCTGGCCATAGGCAATGAAGAACAGATATGCTGAGAACTCGGTCAAACGTATTCTCAAGCCCACAGGATTGTCCAGTATTATAGGCAGGCTAATTGTATGATAGCTAAAGAAGATGAAGAAAGAAGCTCCAACTGATTAGAGAATGCTAAGAACTGAAGCAGGTTTTTTTCTTGAAAAAAGAAAAGTGATGGTCTGGAAGCCGGTGTTGACAATGTAATTAAGATCTCATTTGCCGAATAACGCAGCAAATTGGGCCAAACAACACCCCCCCCCCCAGGCCAAAACAAAAAATACAAAAAGAAACAAGAAAGTTATGACAAAATGGTGGGAAAAAGTGCTGCAGTGTGTGATCCATTAGAATAAAAGTATGAACATACTAGGCCAGTACAAACTATTTGGATCCGATGTTGCTGGACAACAAAACATGTTTGTACGAGAATTAGCAAACAAGGATATAGAGTGAAAAAAGGGACAGTAAGCTAATATCACCTGAAGACTGCATGAGTGCAGCATGCATACACTTCCCTTGCCCCTTCATCATGCAAAAGAGCTGCTCCTTTTGCAATGGTCCCTGAAACCAACCATCAGCTACTAGGTTAATTGTCAAGATCTACATGGCACAAAAAAAAACTACATGACCTACTAATTGGTACTATAGAATCAGAAAGATGCTTCAAATAGCAAAACAAGATTAAAAACCAGAAAAGATAACTTTATGTTAGAATAAATTAAAAAAAATCCAAAATGTGAGAGAAAGTTGCTAATTAACTTAGACCTCCAATTTCATAACTGAATCTAAATGATATTAAAAACAGAGATTATGTAAATTTGCTTCTAACATCAAACGCAAAAGGCTGAATATAGATGATGTTATCTTTCAAAATGTAGTTTATAGGTGCTTTGTCAATGATGTGATGATTCCAGCAAGCATGAAGAACATGCCACAATTATTCTTCCACCTTTCTTTAGCATTGCACTTAATCACTGACAAGTTCTGCATCGTTACGAGTAATTAATGATATCCAACCTGCTGTATCAATCATATCATCCACCATAACAGCAACTTTCCCTTTAACATCACCAATCAAATTCATTACCTGGATATGCAAATGGAAAAATCAAGAACACAAAAATATGACAGGAGAATCACAAAGTTCAGGAAGAAAGTTCCATAAATTTATTCCTTCAGGAACATAATCTTAATTGCCAAGATTACTATTAAATTGTTTGAATTGGACCACACAAAGGAAGGTTAGACATTGCTTTGTTACATGGATTGAATGCTAGTTTTGTGATGCCTGGAAAGCAGCATTGGAATAGCCAAATATATAGAAAATAAGTCCTTGAATGATGTGAGCAACATCAGTTCATTCCTGCTTACTACTTTGTGTGTAGATAATATAGCTAGAGAAAACTTTTAGACCTTAAGTACTCTTTGTTATGCCAGGAAAGTTCGAGTGTGATGATTATGAAACTTTGGAAATAAAACTTTGAATTTGTTAAGAAGAGATTGCTTAACTATCATATCCAGGAGCAAAAATAAAATTTGAAACATGTAAGAAGAATATGTGATTAACATATTCAAAAACCATTGCTTTTCTTTGTGCTGCAGATCCTGAAATCTCTTATCAGATGTTATGTATCAAGAAAAATAGGGTTTCAATTGTGCACCTAGCATATGTAGAATCCTAACCAATGGGAAGGTAAAGTACTCATAAGGTTAGACAACTGAAGCATAATGGTATAAGCTTCCCCTGCAGCTAAAAACCAGAATAATATTTAGCTGTCCAAGACATACAAGTGCAGTGCAGATTTCTGACCTGATCATTATAGGTTCCCATTATGTATTAATGAAGTTTGGCAGAAATACATAGACCCCACAAGGTGTACCAGGAAAAAAGTAAACGACGGTAAAAATCCAACCAGAGATCCAGCTAGTGAACTACCTCAGCCACATTGTGGCCATGTCGCCTTTTATCAACAATTGCTAAAGGTGCATCAGATAACTTTTTAGCAAAAGCACGGGCTCTAGCAACTCCTCCAACATCAGGTGAGACCACAACTAAATCATTCGAAGAAACCTCCTTGCTAGCAAGGTAATCAAGAATGACAGGCTGTATACAGGAAAAAACATTTGATCATCAGTTTATATAACACGTTTAGCAAATTATAGTCCAAAACTCCTACCTGACAGTACACATGGTCCACTGGTATATCAAAGTAACCCATTGATTGCCCTGAGTGAAGATCACAAGCAAGAACACGGTCTGCACCTGCTTCAGTGATAAGGTTTGCTACTAATTTGGCGCAATAGACTCTCGACCTTGTGTCTGAAGATGAAGAAAACAATGATAAGATAACAACCAAACAAAGATCAAAATGCAAGCATGCTGGACTCCCAGACTTCCCAGAACAACTGGACCAAGTTTCCTTTTCTCATCGGCTACGCCCCCCTTCTGTCTCGCTCTTTCACCTACCTTTACCTTAGTTCCTTCAATTCATCCTTAAACTTTTAGCGCTACTAAGTTTTATAGGTGACCACAAAAATTTTTAACCTCTCATGTCAGAAGACACAGACGCTTCAACTAGGCCAGTTATGCAAAAAATAAACTTAAATA